TCACAAATCTTATCACTCTTGACTCTTTGAGCGTCACGTCATCGTTGTTGAGCATGTGACGTCAAGAGGTACCTCGTGCGGTATGTCGATACTTGTGCTTGGCGGGGAGACTTACTTGTTCTCCTATCTCTTCATGCCGGTTCTGAGCTCGTAATTCACCTCGTCCGGAAGTTGCCTCAATCTGCACAACTCGTCACGCACGGCTGTAGCAGTGTCGCCAACCCGATCCACCACGATGATGCCAGCTGCGAATCGGCAAGGGTTGTGTCAGTCGCCGACCTAAGCATACCAACATCTACACCTAGATGATCCTCACCATCTTTCCACATTTGCCTCTTGCTGTTGGCATCTCCCGCATTGTCTGTCCAGAATGCGCCTGCATGACCATAATTTCGGAGGCCCTGCGGCACACCTCTGCCAGCTATGAATCCGACAATTGGCTTGTGGCCCCTTTGCTCCGGCCTTAAAGAATGGAGGTACGAGGCGACGTCCTCTTCCATCGTTCCACCAACTTCTCCAAGCAAGACGATTCCGCTGGTGGTGGGCTCTGACAGCAAGAATTCCAGTGCCTCTGCGGGAACAAAACTCGGCCTGACTCAGGATTCTGCCTCACTTTGCTCGTGGCCAGCCTTCGCATCTTGCTTACCATCCATGCGGGTGCCCGGATAGAGATCGCCGCCTAGTCCAAGAATGTAGCTTTGCCCAATCCCAATGTCTGGAGTTGCTCTTTCATCAGCAGCTGTTGAAGGAAGTGAGCAGTCTCACTTTCACATCAAACTCGCCTTTGGTGGCACCCATTGCCTCATAGGAGAGCGTACCAGAGCGTGCAGCTATGCCTGCACCCACAGCCGCAGTAAAGAGTGTTCAGCGAAACGTCGGCTTTGAGGTCGCGCTCGGTATGCTCACCGATACAGCCGGGTAGAGCAGCAGCGACCGGAGCGATTCCCAAACGAGGACCGTATGCGCAGGTGTAGCCGGGCGAATTGGCTCCCACCAAGCGGGATTTCGATTGCGAGTGCAAGGCGGCCATGACTCGGAACTGATCTCTGGTAGGAATCCCCTCGGCCACACTGACAATTAAGGGAATCTGCCAGTAATGTGGTCCGAGATGAGCCTTACGCATTGGAGCCAACGAAACTAGCCCGCCCGCGGTTTCCAGCTATGCTCACCTCATTCTCTATGGCTTCCAGAATCGCATCAGCTGCCCCTTGGGGCGGCACAAACACAGCTGTAGCGTCGTAGTTGTGATTGCCAGTCTCTTCTTTGTGCGCAGCAATGGCGTCGCGAACGGTAGCGTGGAGGGGAACCTTGAGCTCTGGATGTGTCACCGCTCCTCCCGTGACATCTTGGCTGAATTTGGCAATGTTCTTGGCGCTCGTCGTGCCGGCAACAATGTTGGTGCGGTTAGCGATGGAGAGGCGAGCATGCATGGTAGCTGATCGACCCGTCAAGTTTTGTACGAGAATCCTCGACGTGGACGTCAAGCCCAAATGCGGTATTGTGGAGCGGTACGAAGCCATCGCGATGAGATTATTCAGGCCATATGGAGAGTAAAAGACGGGCACACGCCTTGCGGATGATGATGATGATGATGTGGATGCCTTGACAATGCGCGACGAGACTGCCTTGAAATGTCCCTGGTAACGCTGTGCCTCTCACATCGTGAGAGTGATTCTTGATTGCGTCTTCCAACTCTCACCCACCACCGTCCACTCGACTTTCGGTCCCGGCGACCTACAGTGCTGAAGCTCTTCAATAGCGTGACCGGACTCCGGTGCGCGTGCGTCCTAGCGTGCATGTAAGCCCCACGCGACGTCTGCTGCCTCCGCATACCTTTGCTGTGCGCGGTCGGTTTCTCCGCGCTGCATTCGACTCTGACTCCAATTCGGACTCAGAGTCGTCGCGGAAGAAGTCGACCTCACGTGCTTACCGTACTCTCACAGTACATCGATAACGACCACCCCTTCCAGTAGACACACAGAGTTCCTCTCTGCAGATTCAGACCTACTCCCAATGAGGGCTCAAGCTTTCGCATGAGACAGATCAGCGCGTTGCCGTCCGAGATCTTTTGTGAGCCCATACGTCCTCCGCGGCTTTACAACGTCTCAGAGGGGAGCTGTACACGGCACAGGAGCCGCTTTCGTACGAGTATTGGCAGCTGAGACTTTCAGAGTCGCTTTGCTCGGACGCGCCTTTCGAGAAGCTCAATGAACAGATTCAAAACCTTCCTACTAAAACGCCACGAGGCTCTGTGGGCTATGCGCGCGGACATCGGCGCTGTGCACGTCGTCGACAAGATCATCGAGGGATTTCACAGTCGGTCGATCGCATTGATGTCGTCGTCAAAAGTTGCGGATGGTTTTTGCGACAAGAGGTACTAAATGATGCACGCCCCTGAACTCGCTCACACAGGCTGGGGCCTCGCTCGAATCGCCAGCGTCTCTCCACGAGCAGGAGATTTCAGACGGTTTGAACGTGGTGAAACCCAGCATTGCGAATCTGACGGTTTTGATTCACTCCCCCAGCCTAGAAGCATCCTCGATAACAGCTGAAGAGGTTCTGAGAGCGGAGCGATTATCAAAGTTGGCAGCACCACCGTCCTCGAGGCTCCTCCGATGGACCAAGCCTCATATCATACTAGGAAAGCCACCCTCGAAGTATGTTCCGACGTGTTGTGCATGGAGACTTCCGGCGCAACTCTGAGGTTAATAGTTGTCAGGCAAGGCTACCTCGCTGGCGACACAACTTTGACTCCCCATCGACTTTGCGGTAGCACACAAAGTGCCGGACAGGTCTTCGAAAGCATCGAGCCTCACGTCGAGCGAAATGTTGCCGAAAGAATTATCCAGCAAATTGAAGGATCACCTGGAATCATTCTGAGAGCTATCGACATCGTACCGACTGGTGAGTACTGGGTCCCTCTTCATCCTATCGTGATGCAACACTCTCCAGTCTAATGTCGTCCCCGTTCGTTTGGACAGCTCAGCAGTCTCTTGCATCTACTGACCGCTCCTGGAACGAGCGAAATTAGAGAGTTGCTCCCAATGTACAAGTTGCTACACGCACGACCTTCTTGTGTATATTATCAGTGGTTCACTGAAAGCTGTAGTCATACGAATGTTCGATCCAGTTGCAACGACAATGACAGGTGGTGTCACAAGCCATAAAAGCCACCACATATCGGACCAGCCTTGTAATGTTCTCTTAGGACATCCGGTCAATCAATTCGACGAACTGCTCGTAGCGACTGACCTTGATCAATGCTTATTCCAGAAGCTGACTTAACAATCCACCCTTCATCTGTTGGAATGCAGTGATGAAAAGAGCAGATCGTCAAAGCACATCGTTCCGCACCACAGTGATGAGAGAGCAGATCATCAAAGCACATTTTTTTCGAGAGTTCTGACCTATCAAAGACCGTTCTTTACGGCAATTTTGGCTCCGCTGCCGTCGTTGTCAACGCATTTTACTGACTGACGCTTTCTTAAAAGAAACGTAAAACGACAAGTCTGCAGTCTAGGTCTGGGAAAGGCTTGTATGAGGAACCAGAAGGCACTCGCGTGGGCGCGGTTGACGATTTCGCCGCTACGAACTTTGGTGTGATGAAGTAACGAGACGAGTCGCGCTTGTCGAAAACGCATGTAATTGTCCTTGAGATTTCTTTCGAGAGGCGTCGTGATATGCATAAAATCCTTCGAAAGTTCGGAGGTGTAGGCTGTTTGATCCAGGTAACACTTCTCAAACTTCGCACATCGCAAAGGGGTTCGGTCTGTTAGAAAATGAGGAAGTCATAGCGGCGTTCGGTGACCCTGAAGGCCACAGACGTTGCCAAAAAATTTATTGTTTTGTCAAAATTCAGCTTTTGCTTCTCCCTTTCGCACCACCGAAGACTTGACAAATGCACGAGCGCCAGCTGGGTGAAAGATGAATGAGTGAGGCAAATAGAACGTGATGCTATCTGTTAGCAAATGACGCGACCAGGCACACCTCGTCAGAAACATGGTCTAGTTGTGCGTGTTGATCAAACACCA